TGCTAAACCGACCACAACCGCCATAACCGACCGTAACCAACGGTAGTCGGTGCATGCTGTTTTATAGGTATATCGGTTGGTGACCGGTTCCACAAATCTCATAATCGGTTTCAGTTGGTATTACAAATTTAAGAACCGAAATCGACCGAACTGACCGATGCTCTCCCCTATGAATGACATCACCACATGTTATTTAAGATGCCACGAACCAAATATAGCCTAAGTACTATATAAAAGAAATTTAATAGAAAATTTGGTGAAATTGCCGCCTGAACTTTGCAAATTTAGGCCAGATTGCCCCCTGAACTTTAAATTGTGCCACTTTACCTCTGAATTTGTAAAATCAGGCCAATCCCTGCATTTATAAAGTCCGCTGCTTTATTATTATTAAAAAATAAAAGAACTTGCACCCAAAAAGGGATTGGGAAACCAAGAATATAATAACAATACTAATAACTGAAAATCACGTAGAGCAAACCTTATGAAGGTTCTAATAGCTTAGTGAAAACAATATTCTTTCACTTTGGCTTAATCTCAATTCTCAAATTCTTGGAGACAGTAGAATTTTGTTGATCATTTCGTCCAGATTCTTATAAAATGATCCTTTGGAACTAATTTCAGTAGCCTCCTCTGCTTTTCTCTTCCACTACAAAGCTTTCTTCTTCATCTCTTTTCCCTTTTCTCCTTCCATTAATTCTCTAACAAGGCTCTCAACGTCATCCCTCTTGACATCACTGTTAATTTCTATTCCAATGCCCCATTTATTGCAAATGTACCAACAATTTGTTTGTTTCTTAGCAAAAAATGGCCAACTGACCATTGGAACGCCCGTACTAATACTTTCAATCGTCGAATTCCATCCGCTGAGTCAAGAATCCTCCAATAGAAGGGTGGCTCAAAACTTCTTCTTGCGGGCACCAAGTTGCCAAAAATCCTCTGTTTTTAGTCTCTACAACGAACTCTGTCGGCATAATCGCCGACTCACCACCAACAAGGTCTGGCCTAATGACCCAGAAAAAGGTTTGCTTACTATTTGCAAGCCCCCAAGCGAATTCAATTAGCTGATCGGATGTCATGACAGTGATTCTTCCAAAGTTCACATAAACAACAAAGTTGGTGTCTTTTGAGTCTAGCCATTTCAGACACTCTGGCTCTTCCTTCCAAAGATTTGATCCCAGTTGTTTCAAATCATTGTCATGAACGTAATGATTTAAAAGAAGATGCAGAGGACCCACAGAGTAAACAGGGGGTAACATGGAAGAGAGTGCACCTAAAACTTCGTGCTCCAATTCATCGAACGTATTCAAAATTACTACAGATGCCTTTCGAGCTCTTTCAGCTTCATTTATTGCAAAATCTACGATGAAACAATTTGGGTCGGTTGTTCTGATAGAATTAGGTAAATCCTTCAAGCGGATACCTTCCATGGCTGGTATGCAGTCCACAACAATGTCCAAGTACCCATTCGTTAAATAACTTTCATCTGCAAATGACAAAAAGAAGTAGTAATTAATCAATACAGATCAAGCAGTTCTAAACATTGTCTAATCATTGGAAATTAATTTAATTAATTACCTTTGAGAGGATAATAACCCTTTTCTCGCAGTAGCCTGTAGTGACAATAGCCCAAGAATCCACAAGCGCTGGGAGTCCAAAACAGAACTTCAGGGACACCAAGTTCTTTGGCTGCATCAAGAGTGAAGCTCATAACTCCATCCGAAACAATGCAAGAAACAGGGGGAATTTCGGCTGAGGAGGACTCATTGAGCTTTTGGAGAAGTTGTTTGAAATGAGGTAAGCAAGTTTTGGAGGTGGATTCGCACAAAGATGGGATGTCTTGGGTAGCATCAAGATCAGACGGAGGGAGGCCGTCGAGAATGGCTTCGAAACGAAATGAAGGGAGGCCATTGAGAGCATTAGGGCCCTTGGATTTGAGCAAATGCTTGTGATTGAACTCAGTGTTGATGTAGGTGATATGAAATCCTCTGTAATTAAGCAACTTGGCTAACTTCACCATGGGATTGATGTGGCCTTGAGCAGGGTAAGGGATGCAAACTGCGTAGGGTTGGCAGCGGTGCGGATAACCGCGAAATTTTCACTATCCAAAACCGAAACCGTTTAACTATCCATTATCCAAATCCGCTTAAAAACCGCTCAAAATTTTAAACCTAATAACCAAAACCGCACCAAAACCGTTGTGGGGAGCTTTTGTTGCGTTGTATATGGGACAAGACTGGTCTCGGCTCAAATGGGTTTGGGCCGACCCCTTTTTCGAATAAAATAGGGTTTTTCTAGAGGAAAATGTGAAATAGCCTATTGTCGGGATGGTTTGAAAAGAAATCAGATTTGAAGAAAGAGTCTCGCAGAGAACTGGGAAGACAACCAATTGCAGCGGCAAAAATACTGCGGCGAAAGGGTGTTTATGGCAGATCTGCCTTCTTGGATCAGGAAATATGGGCTCTGTTTTTCCCTGTTATTCGGTTCCAAGAACAGAGCATCATTCTAAACTTAAGATTGAAAGAAAAAATTGCATCTTTATTTGCTTAAACCAAATGGGATTACACTTTGAAAAATGGGCTTGAAGAAAGAGGATGGGAATGATAGCTAAAGGGAAAGAATTCAAAGAAAGGCAAGTGGGAAACAATTTGCAGAAGAAAAGTGAGCTCTGCGTCTTTTCCAGGTTGAGATGAAGCTTGCGGTGAGATTATTTATAATGCCTCTACTGCCGTACGGTGCCTTCCACAGCATGATTCCTGCCGAAAGATTCCACCAATCCCCTGTCATGGCATCTTCTATATCGGGGCTACGCCCAACGTCGCTTTTCCCGCTTTTGAATTGTTTTGCGTTTCTAAGTGTCAAGTCGGTTTCATTGCTGAGATTCTTGCAGCAAGTCAACCGCTGCATTCTTTCCCTTTCCTGCCATAAGGTTATCCTTGAAGCCAAAAACAACTTTCAAGCAAGCTGTCTCTTCCAAGAATAACCCCTGGCAGATTCCCATCCTCACATGCCATCCAAGCCGCTCCTTCAAAATGTTTTCCCGCTTCGTGGTCTTGGTCCACGTCTCTTGCAAATCCAAGGGATTAGTGTGTTTTTGTTGCGGTAATTAGTCTTTGGTGCTGCAATCAAATATGAAAATAATTCATTATGAGTAAATATTACTCCCTTTAGCAATATTCCTTCTTCAGCATCTTTGGCCTCCCCCCGAGCGGCGCTGAAGATGCTTTTACTGCCGTGTGATGGTGAAAGTTCTTTTGCCGTGAGAAATGAGAAAGGCTTGTCTTCATGTGCCGACTTAGCAAACTTTGGGCTTTCGTTGGCAATTTCTTTGGGCCTTGAGAAACATGGGCTTTGTTTGGACTTCAAGTGTGTGCGTGAAATTTATTGGGCCTTTTTTATGTGTATGTGGGTCAAATGTAGGCCTTTGTATGTGTAAAATAATATAGGCTTTTATGAAATATTTTGTGAAAATGGGAAAAATAGGGTATTTTTAGTATTTTTGGCTATGGTAAAAATATTGAGATTTTTGTGTTTAAATGGGCTTTGTTATCCCCAATTTGACCCTTAACAACCGTTTAACAATATCCAAATCCGCACCGCAAAACCATTTATTAAGCGGATATCCGTCTAAAAACCGAAACCGAATCCAAAACCGCCAAATTAGCCCAATTTTATGTTTTAAACGGATTTTATACGGTTTTTATGCGGATATCCGCTATCCAAAACCACTAGTAGATTATAATCGGTTTTTATGCGGATATCCGCTATCCAAGATCCTAAAACCGAAACCGCTCCAAAACCGCAACGGATAGTGGTTTGACTATCCAAAACCGCTTCATAACCGTTTAGTAAACGGTTTTAGATTTTAAACGGGTCGGATATCCGCAAAAAACCGCACCACTGCCATCCTTAAAACTGCGTGAGGCTTGTTGGTCAACTCTGTTGAACCCATTTTTTCTCTCTTTTTCGTTTCAATTGCAAATCTACTCTAAAAGGCAAAAGCAAGGAAGAAACTGGAAATTTGCTGATGGAAAAGAAATGGGTTGCGCTTCAAATGACAAATTTGGCTCCCATTCTATAGCCCAAGGACGTTAAGCAATAGCAAAGTGTTCAATGAAAATAAAGCTTAGAAGATAATGGCTTTGCTCTCCCTTCTCTCTTCTTTCTCTCTCCCCTGTTCCTTTATCCCTTCCCTTCCCTGACTTGCCATGGCCGAATCTGAATTTTTAGATTCCTTGCTAAGGAACTCGGCCCTTTGTTCTAGACTATCAGAAGTAGTTCCTTCTCTTCCCTTCTCTGGAATAGAAGGAAAAGCTTCTACTTAGTCTCTTATAAAGAAGCCTTGTAGTCTTTTTCACCTCTCTGTTCGGACTTTCAAACAGGCATTGATGATGTTTCTGATGATGAAGAAGACATTGATTGCAACATTCCTACCATTCATTTGTCGAAGGAAGAGAAGCTTAGAGTCCGGGCCCCCTGGAAAAACTCTCTCATCATTAAAGTCTCGGGTTGACCTCTTCCAACCACCATCATCAATGAACGCATTAATGCTCTCTGGCAACCTTCTGGTAAGCTTCAGATTATTGATATTGATGGAGGCTGCTTTATTATCCGACTTGAACAGGTGGGGGACTACAACAAAGCCCTTCTTAATGGGCCATGGTTTATTGGTCAGAAAAGTATTTCTGTGAGAAAATGGGAGTCGAACTTCGATCCTTTTGCCTGTGAGGAGGAAAAAACTTCCACCGTTTGGGTGAGGCTACCCAATTTACCGTTCGAATATTTTGATAGGCCGACACTAACTAAAGTTGGATCGGCTATTGGTAAACTCCTCAAAATGGATTTCTACACAAGTTCTAATAGCAAGGGTCGATTTGCCCGCATGTCTTCAAGTTGATCTCAACAAACCACTTTTACAAAGAGTTAAAATTGGTAAAAGGATTCAACCTGTTCTGTATGAAGGGATTACTTTCTGCTTCAAGTGCGGCTTGATTGGCCATAAAATGGATGCTTGTCTCTCAAAGGCAAATCAGAACACAGTGGAAGACAAGGAAAAGGACAAGGAGAATGTTTCCCCTGTTGAAGAGAAAGACAATGATCCGCCTTTTGGTCCCTGGATGTTGGTGGGGAATGATAAGAAAAAGGCACATGCAACAGCCAGAAGAGGCAGATCTCATTTTAGGAAGAGTCGAAGAGGAAGAAGGTCAAAGTCTTCTGCCAGTAGAAAGTCTATCAGAAGAGAGTGGAGGGAAAAAAACCAGTTTCAAATTTTGAAACTTTGGAAAATGCCGCCTCTGCCGAATTTGATGTGGGCCCGGGTTATTTTATTGGTGAATGCAGCAATCAGGCCCTTCTGAATTCGGGTCAAGTTGGGCCTTCAGAGGCCCACAACGTACCCTCCTGTGTTAAGGAGATTTCAACAATGGTTTCTTTATCCTCTCCAAAAACTCAGAATTGTTGTCATCTCACCAACTCCCAAGAATTGCCTGGAAATGGATCGAAATTCTCCCTTCCCACTAATAATAACTTTTTTGAACCAGATCTGTGTGATTCGAATTCTAAAAAGCTATGGGATGGTTCGTTTTTTGATTCGGCATTACCTGCCGATGGTGAAATTGATGGAGAACAATTGCAAGATCTGCATAGGCGAAGTGAAAGCGGTGTCGAACCTACGGAAATAACTAAGCCTTTGGGGTTTTGTAACAGAGCTAGAGAAAGCTCTCCACTTGTACAATCTAACAAACTTTGTGGAAGAGGTGATGGTTCTGGGCTAAACGACCAGAATGCTGAGGAATATACTCCTAAGAAGGTGGGAACGACCGGGACCGAGTCTAAGGCACAAGCAAGGCCTGAAATTTCTGGTAGATCCCTACAGAGTCGCTATAGTAGAAGGCGAGGAGATTCGAAAGGTATTGGTCTCCGCCAGGTTCTTAGCTGTGCTAGAAAGGGGAATGACGGCTCACCAAATCGAGGTAGCGGCAGAGCTCGGCGATCAGCCCTCTTTAGAAGAGAAGTTGGGCTGGCTTGCAAGCAACTCAGACAGGGGGGACATTCACCAATCACCACCTCCTTTTCCATGAAGATTATCAGTTACAACGCAAGGGGTGCGGCGAACCCGAAATTCCGCCAAACCGTTCGTGATCTTAAGGAAAGATACCAGCCTGACTTGTTTATTGTCACTGAAACCCGTGTGTCTAGGGATAGAGCTAAAAATATCAGAGATAGTCTGGGATTTGATGGCATGTCGTGGGTCAACCCAGTTGGATTTTCAGGGGGAATATGGTTTTTGTGGGATACTGCTGATTTGGTTGCTAGCTTTGTGAGGAAGTCTCAACAAGAGATCACGATTCAATTTCAGGTCAGTGACTCATAAAAATTTGTGGTTTCTGCTATATATGCTAGCACTGATAGAAATACGAGGAATCTTCTTTGGTCTTACCTGAAATTTTTGTATTCTACTTTGAACTTGCCTTGGCTCTGGATTGGCGATTTCAATGAGGTTTTATCTTCTAAGGATAAATTTGGGGGCAGGGCTGTCAATTTTTCTTCTTCTTCTGTTCTTCATGATTGCATTAGCCATTGTGGTATGATTGACATTGGTTTTGTTGGGGCTAAACACACTTGGACCAATTCTAATCCTCTCTTCCCTCATTCTTGAACGCATTGATAGAGCATGGATTAGCAACGAATGGCTTTTGAATTTCCCTGAATCCACTGTTTTCCACCTGCCTAGAATTCAGTCGGACCACTGTCCTCTGCTTTTTTCCACTAATGCTTGTGCCCCCACTTTTGGGGAAAAACCTTTCCGTTTTCAGCCCATGTGGCTCTTTGATAACAGTTTCTCTCAAGTTGTGCATAATTCTTGGGCTAGTACCTAGCTTTCTTATCTTGAATCTGTGGATCTTTTTGTCCAGAATGTCAAAACTTGGAACCGTGAACATTTTGGAAATGTCTTTTATAAAAAACAGAAACTTCTCTCCCGGCTCCTTGGAGCCCAAAAGGCTCTTTCTGACCAACCTTCCCAATTTCTCATCGATTTGGATTCTTTTCTTCGTAAGGAACTTCAATTAGTCCTTAGGCAGGAGGAATCTCTTTGGGCCATGAAATCTCGAGTCTCTTGGCTCACTAAAGGGGATAACAATGCCACTTTCTTTCACACCTCTACCCTTGTTAGGCGGAAAAAGAATAAAATCATTAAACTTAAAGATGACTCGGGTAATGATGTTGTAGGGGCTGATTGTATCTCGCATATTGCTAATTTTTTCCTCAAGCTTTACTCTTCTGAAAGTGATTATTGTGAGATCAACCCCACTAAGCCTGATTTTTCCTTCAACTTAGTTGATAGTGAATTCCATAACAGCCTCTCTGTTGTTCCTAGTATTTCGGAGATCAAGAAAGCCCTTTGGAGCATGAAACCTTTCAAAACTCCTGGACCCGATGGCCTCCATGCTGGTTTCTTTCAGCACTGTTGGGAGGATGTCCATCTTTCTCTCTGTAAGGACATTCAGGAGATCTTTGCCACTAGCTCTATGCCTGACTCTTGGAAAAGATTTCTTATTGTTTTGGTCCCTAAGATCAATAATCCTGAATCCATTCGTCTCTTTAGACCTATCAGTCTTGGCAACACCTGCTACAAAATTGTGACAAAAATTGTTGCTAGCAGAATCAAGGGCACTCTTAATGATTTGATCAGCCCTTTTCAAGGAACTTTTCTGGAAGGCGGAAGAGCTTCTGACAACATTATTCTAGCCCAAGAGGTTATGCACACTGCTAAGACTAGTAAAGCCAAGGATGGATGGATGGTCATCAAGATTGACCTTGAGAAGGCTTTTGATAGGTTAGAGTGGCATTGTCAAGGAAATGTTGGAGTGGTTTAATTTTCCCCATAAGTTCATTAATCTTATCCTTTCTTGCATTACCTCTCCCAACTTATCCATTCTTGTAAATGGTTCTGCCTCCGATCCCATTCCAGCTACTAGAGGTATAAGGCAAGGAGATCCTATATCTCCATACATTTTCATCCTCTGTATGGAATACCTCTCTTTGTCCATTGATAAAGATTGCACTGATAGGAAGTGGAATCCTATTCGTATTGGTAGAAATGGCCCAAAGATCTCACATCTCCTTTTCGCGGATGACATCATTCTAGTCGCAAAAGCAAATGAGAGGAATTGTCTTGCCATTAAAAACACTCTTGAGGATTTCTGTGCCAAATCTGGTCAAAAAGTTAATTTGGATAAATCCAAAATCTGGTTTTCTCCTATGGTTGAGGAGGATAAGGCTGATTATCTTAATTCCGTCCTTGGTTTTAGAAAGGTTCATAATCTGGGTATCTATCTCGGTCAACCTCTCCTGGAGAAAAAAGGGAATAAGGGCGACTATTCTTACCTCATTGACAAAATGAGATCCAGACTAGCTGGATGGAAAGCAAAGAAACTCTCCCTTGCTGGTAGGAGCACTCTTATCCAGTCGATGACCTCAGCCATTGTTGACTATCCCATGCAGGTTGGCCTCCTGCCTGCCTCTATCGATTCTGAGATTGACAAAATCCATATGGATTTTTTGAGGGGTGATACTGATGAAACCAAGAAGATCGATTTGGTTGGTTGGAATAAAGTGGCTAGGCCCAAAAACCAAGGGGGTCTTAATCTCAAAAGAGCTAAACTCAGGAACATGGCATTACTTGCCAAGTTACATTGGAGAATTAGAAAAGACCCCAACAACTTCTGGACTAAAGCCCTCTGTTCAAAGTATAACTTAGACACTAGTTCTAATAGCAATGCGTCTAATGTTGCCAAGTCTCTTGTCTACTCTCAAGCTCTCTTCAATAAAGGCGTTAAGAAGGTAATTCAATCTGGTTCCAATACTAGCTTCTGGTATGATGTTTGGGCTTTTAACTATCCCCTTAGAACACTTATTCAGGGACCTCTTAACAAAGGTGAGGATAGTATGTTAGTTAGGGATTGTTTTCCCCCCGCAGGTGGTTGGAACCTTGACAGCATCTCGCTCACTCTTCCTCCTGATTTTGTTGATACAATTCTGTCTATTCCTTTTTCTCTTAGGGATAATGTGAGTGATTCTTTTTGCTGTAAATACTCTTCAAATGGTAATTTCTCCTTGAATTCTGCTTATGATTTAGCAAATGGCTTTGATGTTGTTTCGGATTTCAATCCCTTTTGGAAAAAGTTTTGGAAAATTCATTGTCATAACCGCATCAAATTCTTTTTTTGGTCTGTTGCTCATGGGAAAATTCCTTGTAAATCCATGCTCTATAATCGCAAAATTAGCCAAGAACTCTGTTGTGATCTTTGTCCTGATTCTGAAGAAACTATTTTACATATTCTAAGGGATTGCCCTTTGGCTTCCTCTGTCTGGAATTCTCTCCACTGCATTCCTTCTCATTTCTTTCTGCATTCTAATCTTGAGACTTGGCTTTCTTGCTGCCTTTTCTCCTCTCTCACTTGGAAATCCATTCCATGGACTACCATTTTTTTTTATTCTTGTTGGAACTTATGGAAAGCCAGGAACTTAAGACTCTTCTCTGGACAATTCTTATCCATGGATTCCATTATTCAATCCTCTTCTTTCCAAGCTCTAGAATTTTTTCATGTGGCTAGGCCTGCCCCCAAATCTATTGTTAAATCTTGGAAGAACATTCATTGGGAGCCTCCGGACCAAGGCTGGTTTCTTTTGAATACTGATGGTTCCTCCTCCCAAGACAAGGGTGGAGCTGCTGCCTTAATACGAGATCACCTTGGGGTATGGATTGTTGGATGCATTAGGAGAATTCCACTTGCCGATAGTCTTCAAGCAGAGCTTTGGGGACTTAGAGACGGCCTCCTCTTAGCTAAATCTCAAGGGATTTCAAATCTCTTGGTCAAAGTTGACTTTGAATGCATGATTTAGCTTGTTCAGAATCCAAATTGTGCTAATCACCGGTTGGATAATGTCATTGCTGATTGCAGGGCACTTTTGAAAGATTTCTCCAATTGCAGGATCTCCCACTCCTTCAGGGAAGCTAACCGAGCGGCTGATAGAGGAAATGGATGACTTGTATCAAACTCTCTATGCCATCCCTGACTTTGCTTTTGATTGTATTTTGGATGACTGTATAGGCCTTAATACACCTAGACTTGTTAGGGCCTCTACAAGAACAGATTTGTAAACTTTTATTTTCTATGAATGTTCCTGTTTAACCAAAAAAAAAAATAGCAAAGTGTTCAATTAACGTGGGAAAGTGACGATAGTCAAAGCTCTATGTATGAAACAATATGGCTCTTTTGCCTTGCCAAAGCTCCAAACCGCCCCATCCCTAGATGAGATCTCCATCCTAGCCGTACGTCATTGTCAGAAGAAGATGAGACATAGAAAATTGTGAAAGCAAATTTTATAATATGGACCACGCCAATCATGTGGCAAAGTAATCGATCGTATGATTTAACTAATTTAACTTTAGAAGAAAAATTGTACTATAAACTAATATTTAATACTATAAATTTTATTATTACTAGAATTTCCCGGCCGCGCTTCGCGAACGTCTATTTTATTTTATAAATTCTTTTAAGAAAATTTCAGTTAAGAAATGAAATTTTGTTGTGAAATGATAACAAGACAAACGAAGAGAATAGAAAATTGAAGTATGGAAAATACAAGAGAACAGAGAGACAATAGAATATAGAGAAGAAGAAAATATGAAAAAAGGGAGAAATTGTTCTTATTCGTTCTATTCCATAACAAAGTAAGTGGTGTATTTATAGGCACATGGATACATCACCATAAATATAAGAGGATGAACTTAGTACATAGGTATATATGTATGAATGAACCAAGTTATTAATCTTATCCATGCTTTAATTTTAGATTCATGGACATCCACAATATACATGTATATTCATAATAAATTTATAATTAATTTATAATTATTTGATTAATTTATTTTATATAGGAAAAGGGGATGAATGTCTTTTGATTTTTCCAAACTAAATAAATACAAATATAATAAACAAAATATTAGAAAATTAACTATTGACACTTGTCAAAAAAACCTAATGCTATGTGTCACTCAATGAAAGCTTTGTTTATAAAATTAATAGTAGGTTTAATTATTATATTATAAAAGTAATAAGCATACTATCAAACATCAATGAATCACTAATATAAAATGGGATCTTATCTCCATAAATGGACAGGGCAACCTATTGTCTTTCAAATGAATCAGAATATAACGACAACATGTTGTCTTCTGCTTCTGAGTTCATCTTCATCGGTTCATCCTATGACAGTAATCTCCTTGGTTGGTTTCTTCCTCCCTTGACGGAAACTTTTCAAATCTTTACTTGCATCTTTTATAAGGTAAATTGATTCAACATTATAATTCATGTATCTATATATGGCCGCCTCTTCTCTTGTCTTCTTTTCCCATCATAATATTAAGCAAATGGTTAGGAGTTGTGGCAGCTAATTAACAAAAGAAATTCCAACGTGACAGTTATGAATTTTCTTATAATAGCAAGTAAATTTGAAAACAGTCTTCTAAAAAACAGCTCGATCTATATATAGTGTTCGAATAGCAGCAAATCGTGAGAGATTGCTTTATTGGGTGACATTTTAATACATAAAAACTTTTGCAACCATTGTTGCTTGATCAAATATGGTACCCATATTGGTAAATGAGTGTAGTCACTAGTCAATATAGATGTTCATGGATAGGCCAGACTGGACTCTCTTATTATTTGATCCTATAAATATTTAAGGCCTGGGTCCATTTTGAGCCATTTAGACATGTACCGAAATAAACATTTATGTTGCCTTTAGAGATGTTTTATATCGATTTGATTGATGTGAACATGAGCTAGAATTTCATCTTTGTTTTTTTTTTGGTGTGATCAAAATCAAAAGAGTAAAGAATTGAGCTAGAAATTCATCTAGTGGGGTCAAAAGTTTTAATTTTCCCATTTATATTATATATATGTACATGTACATGAAAGCGGTCGAAAATCGGCGGGTGATGTTGCTGGGTAAAAGTACAAAATTGGTCCCTCAAGTGGACCGAACATAGTAAATTAGTCCCTCAAGTAAAAAAATATGTAATTTAGTCCCTGAAGTGGAGTTAACTGAGCAATTAAGTCCTTTTCATTAGTGTCCATCCATTCCTCCGTTAATTCGTCCGACGTGGCAGTGACGCCGTCAAATGTGTTGACGTGTCATCGGCCACGTCATTTTCATAATAAAAAAATCAAAAAATAAAAAAAAATCAACTTGAATAAAATAATTAAAATTCATTAAACTAAAAAAAAAAAAGAACTAGAAAACCTAATTCACCCCCCCCCCCCCTCCCCGCGCGACCCACTCTCTTCTTCTTCTTCTTTTCCCTTCCCCCACCTCTACCAAATCCCTATCACAGCGCCACCTTCTCCCTTTGCTTAAATCCCAGCCGCGACAAGCTCCTCCTCTGGCGTATAACTTCTTCCCCTCACGCGACCCAAGCCACGTCACCGCCCTTTGGTCCAGCCGAGCACAGTAGCAACAGGAAACATCACCTCTGTCATCGTCACTCCTCAGTCCTCACCGGCGGTAACATTGCCCCTGCTTTGGGCTTTCCAAATCTTACTCTTTGGCAGAAGATTAATGGTGTATTCCATCAAATAGATGGGGGAATTATTCAATTTCATGTCTGGTTCTCCTTTTCTCAAAATATTCTGATTTTGAATTATTCAATGTATATTGTGATTTGGTTGGTTAAACAACTTTGAACAAAGACTATTGGATCTTTTTTCATGGTTTTTCCTGCTTGGGTTTTAACAGGCTGTGTTAAATTCTGATATGGGTTTCTTGCTTTCGACAAGAATATTTTTTTCAAGAAGTTTTTTTTTTCTTTATTTTGAGGTAAGCAAGTTAACCTGGAGTTTCTGGCAACTGAATTGTTTACAAAGATGCATGATTTTTTTGTTAATGGGATTAGTAAATGGTATTAACTATTAAGAGTTGGAATTTTTTTGGCTTGTAGGGAACTAATGTTTGGTGAATAATTCTGATATGGGTTTTATGTATTGGATCTTTAGAGTTGGTTAAGCCATTCATCTTCATTCTCTCCCATATCCCATTCTTCATTGTTATGCTAATTGAACCTGAGAATTGGAATTTGCTGCAGAAGATTTTCATTTCCAAGGGCGGCTTTTCTTTGAATGAAAATTGGAAGAAAATTCTTGGATTTTTAATTTAATGAATTTTGTTTTATTTTTCCGAATTTTTTTAATTTTTTTAATTCAGAAAATGACGTGGCATAGGACACGTCAACACATTTGACTGCGTCACTGCCACGTCGGATGAATTAACGGAGCAATGGATGAATTAACGGAGCAATGGACGGACACTAACGAAAAGGACTTGATTGCTCGTTAACTCCACTTCAGGGACTAAATTATATGTTTTTTCACTTGAGGGACCAATTTGCTATGTTCGGTTCACTTGAGGGACCAATTTTGTACTTTTACCGATGTTGCTGAACTGTATCGCCTTTGAATACAAAAACAAAAGGATCCTCTTTATTAGGATTTAATAGACATTTTGATTCATGAATTTATAACAAATGGATAAATTAGTTTTATAACTTTCAAAATTGTTAATTGTGTATATGAACTTGTAAAATATGTACAAATTAACCTTTTTTATACGGAAATTGATATGATTTCGTCAACAATTGGATGAAATTTAACGTAGTTGTTCAATTTATATGAGCTAATTTATGTTCAATTGTCAAAGAAATTGAACCAATTTCTATAGAAAATATTTAATTTGTCTCCCTTTTTACAAGTTCAGATGTTTAATTGACAATTTTGAAAATTTAAAAACTAATTTGTCACTTTTATACAAGTCTAGGGGCCAAATGTCTAATATGTCTTTATTAGTGAATTCACTGCACTCTATATGCTCGATTTAATGATTCGCAACTTTTAAGGATAAAATATTAGAGATGTAAATAAATATATGTAAAATGTAATGGATAGTCCACGAGTGGAAAGAATCTTGCTGGATTGAAATGCCTAAGCATACTTTGCATGTACTCTTAGTTAAGTTTACCATATAAATATTGTACAAAACTTTCGTACATTCAATGCAATCCATCATCTTATGTCGTTCAAAGACACCCAAATATTTATAGAAAAATCCAATGATTATTAAATATTCATATTTTATTTCAATTTCTCTCTTCAAATACCCAATTTTATTTAAAGTATTAAATTCTCCACTAATTAGTGAAGAGGATAAAGGGGAGAGAGTAGAGACCACTAGGTTGTAGAAGTCAATTCAATCCATGAGCCCATGACTAATAAATTAACCTGGGAGGTTGGGACCTGCTCAATCACATCTTCATTATTCTCGGTTCTTGTAAATTAAATAAGCAATAATTCTGAACAAGACAAATTACGCTTCAAGCAAATGGGAAAAGTTTTAATAAGGTCAGAAATACAAACAAAATAGTAGTAGTAGTAGTAAATTTACTTTACTTATTAGGTACATTCACATTGGTTAAAATATCTTAATGATAGCAAAGAAACTTGTAATTGTAATTGCTTATACGAAGGCAAACAGTAAACACCATTCTGGCTTAATTATGTTCTGTTTTGGACAGCAGAACTTTGTTGATCACTTCATCAAGATTCTTGTAAGATGATCCTTCGGAACTACCGGTGGCCTCCTCTGCTTTTCTCTTCCACTCTAAAGCTTTCTTCTTCATCTCTTTACCCTTTTCTCCTTCCATTAACTCTCTTACAAGGCTCTCAACTTCATCCCTCTTAACATCACTGTCAATTTCCATTCCAATCCCCCATTTACTACAACAAAACCGACAGTTTGTCTGTTGCTCCGCGAAAAATGGCCAACATGTCATGGGAACGCCGCCAGAT